GATGACGAGAAAGTGCATGAATAGTTTTCGCAGAATTTCATATTATGGTTTTTGCCGCACAGCAAAACTATTGATAGAGTGCAATAAGTGCCGAAATGAAGGAGATTCATGAAGCTTTAATAATAGAACAAGATACTTAAAATTCACAACGATAGGCGACACTTTCAACTGCTTAAATTGTAATGTGAGATAGTCGCTAGAGATAGATGCCTTTTAAGACGAGTAGAAAAGAAAGCATTAGGAAAAAAAAACTTTTGCAAGAAAGACGATATAATTAGGAAACAAATAAAAAGGGTATTGTTTATAAAAATCTTTTCAGTCCTTCTTTCTCTCGACTGCGGGCCACTTTAGGGACAGTAGGATGGCCTATTACGCAAGCATCCCTCTCCGTTCTACTTGGAATATCCTCTCTTTCATTCGTGAACAGCTATGTTGTCCAGACTTGCTTCAAAACTGTGATTCTCGTAATCACCTTTGGTGAGTTCACTACCACAAGTGCTGCATGAAGTATTCAATTGCATTCTACAACACGCAGCATGTAGAATATTTAGATTAGTTCTTTGCTTTCAGGAATCATCCACGCTCTTCTATTTCTCCCACTGGTTTTGATGTTCACTCACAAAGTCTATCTCGCTTGCGCTATAGTATCTCAACGACGATCTCAAACAAACATTTCACCACAAAAACGAAATGGAAGTGGATAGAAGATTTGAATCATTCGTATTGCGTGCTTTCTAAATCCAAGTGCAAAAGTAAATTAATCTTGTTCTTAGCAAGGACAAATAAAAATTTCCAATCGTGCAAAAAAAACTGTATATGAATATATTCACAATTCAAACATCGAGGCTTTAACTTCTGCATAGATGTAAAAAATATGCTGTGTACCCAAAGAATTGTGCTTACTTCCACACCTTCTCAAAGCCTTAGTTCATTGGAAGTAATGGAAGGAAGATTAAAATTAGACTTCCATCCATTAACAGATCTTGACCTTCCTCCAATACGATCTGAAGTTCTACGTCCCTCTGCAGCTGACGCAAAGCAATTAGTATCATATTTGGGCTTGCTTAGCAAATGGCTCTCCTGGATATGTTTTCTTTGCCATTAGGCCTATTTTTCACCTATTACCAGTCGTGGTCCACGCCAGCGCTAAGGCGACTTAGAAGAAAATATTACAGGAAGAATGCTCTGCTTGATGTAGTACTGCACTGTTCATGATGCAGTCGAAGAGGTAATTGAGACCCTTCGATTGAAACCAATTCCAGCGTCACATTGCCCTTCTGGGGCACGCGAGAAGCGGCTGAGAAATACCCCGTCGCAACTAAAAGTTCAGTGTCTGATAAAGAGTATCGAGTTGAAACTAGGGCGTTCCTTGGAAGAAACAGTCTAGCCCGATTGATGCCAATAGTGGCCAATGGCCATCGTCTTACGAGTGGGAACGGTTAAAATTCTAGCTCTTTGAAGCAGACACGCTCCGATTAGCCACCATCAATTTTAAAACTTTCGCTGACCGACATGAAAATTGGCGGATCTCTTGAGGAGAGGGGGAGTGGATATAGCCTTCGTAAAGGTAGGAAAAGGAAGGGTGGAAAATCACGCGATATGAGACGCTTGTAAGCTGCTCTACGATGGCAGCAGCAGTGAAATAGAGTAGGTATAACTGCTTCTGAAAGCTTAGAAAGCAAGATTGCCGTAGTTGGCCGATTAAGTAATCGACCTACGAGCACAGAGCTCGACACTGGGGGAAAAATCCTTCGAATTGTCACCTCCTCTGCTCCTCAAGGCGGATGCAAAGAGGAAGGGAAAGAAAATGTTCTGGCAGGAGCTTGACGACTATATTACATCCAGCTATAGGATGAGATATTCCTGTTTAGAGTAGACCTTAACGGTCATGTGGGGGAGAAAATAAATAGCGCGGGAAGGTGTCCACGGGAACCACGGGACATGCAGTGAAGAAGGCGAACGCACTTTTGGGCAACCTAGCATTAGTCAACATTTAAACATCAAGAAACATGAACACCTCATTACGCGTACAAGTAGAGACCATAGAGCTCAAAATGACTACTGGGCAGTGCATTACCAAAGAACATAAAGGACTGCAAAGTTATCCCAGGTAAAATCTGCATACCTTAGCATAAGCCACTACTTCTAGACCTAAAAATGCTGATTGAACGACAAGGAAAACCAATGACTCATCAAAGCACGAATCAAGTGGCGGATATTAAAAGGGAACTTCGTGGCTTTAGTAAGTGATTTACCGGCCTTATGAACCAGTCATGGTCGACCTTGAAGTGTAATGTATGCATAACAAGGAATTTACTGAGGTGTACGAATTCAGGATCAAGAAGAATCGATAAAGAAACTTGGTGGTGGAACGATGAGATCCAAATGGCGGTAAAGGAAAAAAGTCAAGCATACAAGCAATGGCATAAGTCGAAATCGGAAAGTGATAGGGACATTTGTACCCAAAAATGAAACGCGCTGCAAAGAAATGTGTCAAGAAAGTGAAAAAGGCATACGTAGAAGAGCTGGATAGGAAAATGGAATTGCTGAGGGAGAGCGAGATATATAGCGACTAGAAAAAGAGCAGAGTCCGCAAGATATAGAGTACTTTTTACCATGTCAAAAATAAGCTTGGAACTTGAAACATGAGCGATCATAGAGTTGTCAACCAACCAGTGCGGATTTGTGAAAGGTGCCGGTACTGCTGACGCCATCCATACTCGGATGGTGGCAGAGAAGTATAAGAAAAACAAAGGGAGCTACATGCGGCTTTCCTGAAATGGAGAAAGCTTTCGACAAGGTATCCATGATATCATATGGTGGGCATCGCAAGAGCCTTATTCCAGAAACATCCAATACATCAAAATGATCTATTATAACAGAGCCACGAGTGTGCAGACTGCGACGGACACTCAAACCTATTCGCTATAAAGACCGGCGTACA